AAAATTTAATTCAAGTTTACTTAACTGGTGTGACAGATTGCAAATATAAATTTGCAAGAAAATTTTTGCAGAGATAAAGATTTGCACTCGTACACAACATCTCTCTATATACATATATATAATATGTGACTCCAAATATTAATTCATGTTAATTTAAAAATATATAAATATAATTTTTCAATTTCATTTATATTGAAATCAACATAGTCCAACTGTATTATGTAAAACCGTCATGGTCGGTGACTAAAAACTCATAGAAGGACTAGTAGGGCTTTTTAACGTAGTCCAAGCCGTGACGGACTGCTGCTCCTTCTTTTTTTAATTAGGAAACGGACTGCCCCTGCCCCCTGCTGATGTGGCGATCCAGTGTGAGCGAAAAACTCGTGTTGTGATTGGTTGACCAAACCCTCCCACGGATCGCACATCTAAACCGTCTGCTCCTCCGAGATCCGACGGCTAGCAAATCTTCCCCTCTTTCTTGATTGTTCTTCAGCCCACCCACGCGTTATCTCCGCCCGTGACCAGCGCCCCCACGCCGCACCAACCCACCTTCTTCCTCTCATGCCGCCAGCCCGCCGTACCCACCTCCTCCCCTCCTGGCTCCTCCCCTCGTGCACACATCCTCCTGTTCTGACGCCTCCCCGCCGTGCCCAGCTTCCCCTCAACCGGCCGCGCTGCCTGCACTCCCACCGCCCCGCCGTAGTGTCCCCTCCTCTGGCCAAATCCGGCTGAGATCCGCGAGTCCACGGCAACCGTGGGAGGATAACGGCGCGGCAACGGGCGTCCTCCCTCCCTGCACACTTGCGGCAACTACCACATCCCCTTCCCTCACCTCTAACCTCCACTCCCCGACCCCCTTTCCTCACCTCTAGCCTCCACTCCCCGATCCAGCCCCTAGTGCACAACGCGGAGCCGGTCTCGTCGATGCAGGTCGCGCCCATATCGCTGCAGGGAGCGAGCGACCCCATCGTGGGCGTGCTGAACCGCGGGGATGCATAGAGCCGCCACCGGGCCCAGCAGCTGCGGATGCGCCCTGCTAGGAGGCTGCCATCCTCTATCGCCAGGGGGCCCGCATACGTCGCCTACGCAGTCCTCACCGCCGGATTCTCTGACTACCGCGCTGCTATGAGCCGCTCGCTCCACCAGGTCCTCTTTCCTCTATACTTTTGATTTTTTTTCAGGCTGTCTTAAGGTTTGTCCACGCGCAGGCAATGTCGACCATGGGTTGAGGCCTGATACTGGCGGATAAGGTTCTCTCTTCAATAACATCAGCAGGGATGGCCGGATCTCCGTCGAGAAATCCAAGGAATACCCACACCCTTAGACAGAATTAGGATTGGGAGTTTGTATTTTTAGTTTATTCTATTTTGGTGGTCCTTTGCAGATGTACTGTCAGGAAATATCCGTAGTTTAAAGTTTTTGTGTAATATTTTCTGCGGTGTGTATGTATTTTTTTAAGGAACATATGTATTTTTTCTTTTATTTAATGACATGTGCATACATCTTTTGTAAAATGTATACTGGCTCAGAATTTGCAATTGTTTGTAGATGGACCAAGAGAAATTAGATGGCTAATTGTTGAGATTGAAACCAATGGGCCTTGGACATACCTAAAATTTAACGGACCAAAGTTCTAACTGGGCCGACTACATGTGGATGTTTGTCTTAGATGGAGCTTTAGTGAGCCAAAATTCTTATTGGGCCGATTACTTCATAGGCTACCATGTTAGATTCTGATGTGGCACATAAGTTAACGCCGTTATGAGCATGTTAGTTAAGTGCCATGCATGACGGCCAAGAATCGTCACGGACCATGACGGTTTTGGATGATCCGTCATGCAGTGTGCGGTGGTCCAATTATGACGCGATATACATGACGGAATTTAAATCCATCATGGGTTCCCATCCATGATGGTTTTGCACAGGTCTGTGACGGACTCAGACCGTCATGTATTAACAGAATTCTTGTAGTGGTGCCAGATGATCCTGGAGAACGAGCAGTGAAGAAGCAGGTGATCGATTGTCTCGAGCTCCTGAGCACAGAACGCGTAAAGATCACCGTGCGGCAGCCCATGCCAGGCAGCAGTCCAGCAGCGATCCATGTCGGCCAACCAAGCGAAGAACTGGATGCGGAGAGGGGCCCAAGTGCGCTAGGTAAGCTTCCAATGCGGGGTGATAGTTGAGCCGGTGAACATTGCCTGATAACAGGACTTAGTGGAGTAGGAGCCGCTGCTCGTCCATCACCAACGCAGCTCTTCAGGGTCGGTAGAGAGGGTTAGATGTTGGAGGAGCCGCCGAAGTTCCACATACTGCACCATGGCCTTGGGCCCCAAGGCGGCACAGATGTCGGAGATCCATGCCCGGCCAAGCAAACCCTGCGCAACGGAACCCGTCCACCTGTGATACCTGGGAACCAAGGCCAGCATGGCCGGAGCGAGGTCGGCAATGGACTGTCCACCGATCCACCTATCCGTCCAGAATAGACAGGAGTTGTCGTCCCCCAAGATCAACATCGTGGAAGCGTTGAAGATGGCCTGGACATCGGCGTCTATCGGGATGTGGAGATGTCTCCAGGGTCTAGAGAGGTCAGTGGCCTTAAGCCAAAGCCAGCGAGCGTGGAAGCAATGCCAGTGCGCTACAAGTCCCGGATGCCCAGGCCCCCATACTCTAGAGGATGGCACCCTTGCGCCAGCTGACAAGATTGCCACCACCAGAGGAGTCAGTGTAGCCATGCCAAAGAAACTCGCGCATGATGTGGTTAATCTTCTTGAGAATGGAAGATCTCAGTGCCATGGCCATGTGGAGGTGGGTAGGCATAGCGGCGAGGACGTGACGGGCGAAGGCCAGCCTTTCATCGCGGGAAAGAAGCGAAGTGCGCCAAGTAGGAAGCTTACGAGCCATGCGCTCCACCAGAGGCATAAGGGCAGCCGCGGAGACTTTCTGGACTGAGAGAGGGATGCCCAAGTAGGTGATCGGGAAGTGCACGATTGGGCAGGAGAGCGTGCCCGTGATTTGTGCCACTTGCATGTCAGAACACTGGATAGGCATGGCAGAACACTTCTGGAAGTTCATGTGAAGGCCGGAAGCAGCTCCAAAAATGCGCAGCAGCTCGCGGACAACAAGGAGCTCCTGCGGGTCAGGATGACAGAAGATGACCACGTCATCAGCGTACAAGGAGATGCTCGAAGCCATCCGGCGCTCGGTGAGGCGACGCAGAATGCCAGAGCTGGTGGAGAATTGAAGGAGAGAGTTGAGGGCATCGATGACCAGAACGAATAGCATCGGGGAGACGGGGTTGCCTTGACGCAAGCCCTTCTCATGACAGATGGGCGGACCTGGATTGTCGTTGATCAAAATACGGGTCTTGGCGGTGGAGAGTAGGATGGAGATCCATTCCCGCCATCGAGGACCAAAGCCAATATGGCGACGGACCTGGAGAAGGAGCAGCCAGGATACGGAGTTGAAAGCGCCCGCAATGTCAAGCTTGAGGAGCACACGCGAGGCGCGCATGTTGTGGAGCTGACGAGCGGTCTGCTGGACGAGGATGAAATTGTCATGAATAGTGTGTCCCGTGATGAAGGCGTTGTGGTTGGAGGACACCATGGCGTCAAGGCGAGGGGCGAGGCGGAGCGACAAGACCTTGGCGAAAAGCTTTGCAAGGAGGTGAATGAGGCTGATCGACCGGTAGTCCGAGAGAGAGGAAGCGTCGGGCTTCTTCGGGAGAAGGGTGATGAAGGCCTCATTGAGCTTCTGGAAGCCCAAGCCGTTCAAGTGATAGAGCTTATCGAATGCGTCACAAATGTCCTTCTTGATGGCATCCCAGCATGCACGAAGAAATTCGGACGTGAAGCCGTCGGGGCCCGGCGCCTTTCCGGACGGGAGCTGCTTCGCCGCGGCCCAAATTTCGGCCTCGATGAAAGGAACCTCGAGGGACGAAAGGTCGAAGGAACGGCCGTCGAAACCCTCGAGGTTGAGGGTGGAGTCACGCGAATCAGCCGCACCCAGGATGCCGGCGAAGTGGTGAAAAGCAGCTTCCTCCATTCCGGCGTCGTTAGAGACGAGCACGTCGTCCACGCGCAGATGTCGGATGCGCTTCTTGTGGAGACGGTGAGAGGCACGAATCTTAAGGAAGGTCGAGTTAGTGTCCCCCTCGCGAAGCCAAGACAGACGAACACGATGTCGGGCGATCGTGCGCTCGAGGGACGCGAGGCCGAGGTACATGAGCTTGAGACTCCTGCGCAGCCAGATCTCAAGCGGGGAGAGCGGCCGCAGATCCATGGCCGCATCGAGCCGGGCAATGAGCTTGCGCGCGACCTGCAGCTAGAGGGAAACCGAGCCAACCCATCGTGCACTCCAGCTTTGGAGGCGACGGGCTGTGAATTTGAGGCGCTGGTACAGACGGCGGAAGGGATCGGCATCCGGGGGCTCGGCGTTCCATGCCTCCGCCACCACCTCCTGAAAGCTATCGAGCTTCAACCAAAAGCATTCGAAGTGAAAACGCCTGTAGACCCCGAGCTGCTGAATTATGTTGTTCTTTGTACTACCATGACTGGAAATCCCCCCTCCAAAAAAACTCATAAAATTATAAAAAATTCTTCGTGGGAAAATAAACCATGTATGTCCATGAAATTGGGTCAACGGGACATGGATGACCCACACGCGCCCAAAATCAATAGGCAAATTAGCTAGACGCACACGCCGAAGTACGGAGCGCGTTAACAAAATTCACCGCCAGACGCCTAGAGCCACACGCATCTACACGGTTGGGTCCCAAACAAATACACGCTGCACCCATACATAGGTCCTTAAATTCAATCCGACCAAGTGGTGAAATGTGGTAAAGAAATCTTCCTTGGAAATAGGGTTTGGGGTATTCTACGTAGTAGAGTTTATATTTCTTATATAAAAAATTCTACACGGCTGTCATAATAACCAACACAGAGCTGAAGATCCAACCGAGAAGACAACCCGCAACATTTTCAAGAACCCCTCGATCGCAGAGGTGATAAGTTGGGTGCTCCCAGACTATATGCCACATTGGTCCAGCAAAATGACATCGAATTGATTCATCCCGATCGCAAAAGCTACATTTGGCGCCTCCTTTGTCCAATTTGTTTGAGAAAATTGCGTTTAGTCAATATATGACAGCCATGCGCGTATAACTTGAAATGCATGATTTATACCAGGATTTGAAGTCTCCAGAGTTGCAATCTTTGGATTGGGATACTGGGTTGTCCAAATGTCCAATACCACCACGGAAACAATAGGCAGGTCCTCAATAAATACCATGTACTCCTACTACTACTCCTAGCTTGTTTCAGGTGCTAGAGGGTGGGGATCCCTGAGCAGTAGCAGTGGTCCTTCTGCTTGAGGGTAAATTCTAGCCTCTAGCTGAGCCTGCCTGCCAAGAGCAACAGCTAGCCTTGCACAGAGATTCCCGCCAGATCTTTTGGCCGCCTAGCTTGATCATTTGCATCTGCCCGCACAGCTAGAGCAGCAGCAGACAGACGTAGATGCAGATGATAAGTATGCGTACATTGCCTAGGGCAAAAACCAAACAGATACTTGTCCTTGAAAAAGCCACTCAACTCTCTCCCTCCCTCTCTCTCCCATGGTTTCTCGTGGTGTTCCTCGCTGCCAGATCTTCAAAATCATGCACGCCGCTGATTGATCTCGCATGCATGCATGCACATGTGTGTGCGCGCGCTCCCGCGCATCTGCGGCACTGTAGGCTGCCGCTGTTGCGTCCTCCCCCACACCCTCCCTGCTGCCAAGGAGCGTTTGGACGCATCGCCTTGGCCCGGTCTCACCCTGCCATCGCCCTGCATGCCCTGCCTGCTTGCATTTGCTGAAACAAGGGCGAAAGGTGAGCACTCACTCGCTGCTGCTTGCAGCTTGCATGCAGCCTGGCCGCAGGAGGCACTGTAGCAGACGAGAGCAAGTGGCGCCTGCTCGTGCTTAGAAAGAAGAATTGTTCCTTTGCTACAATCGCCCGAGGCCGGCCACATGCATGATACACATGCACACACAGTGCGCTCATCTCAGGAAGGGAACGAACGAATGAATGAATGAGTGAGTGAGTGAGCGAATGATACACCCAGATACCACCACTGTCGCGATAGATGGCTAGCGGCTAGGCGTATGTTGTTGGTTAGTTAACAGACATTCATGAGATGATGCATTTTATATGCCACTGATAATAATCTACTGCTTCATGGCTTGTCCTGCAGGTGCATGGGGATTGAAACAGCACAATCATGAGGCGATAAACCCTAAACCGTAATATAAAAATAAACAGACCGACTCCATCACCACATGTTGGGCGCCGGCACACTGTTCTTCTACACCCTTCCCTCCTCCATGATCCAAGCAAAGGAGGGAGCCCCCATGCCCCCCGTCCTTTTCCCTGCTTTGTTGTTGCTACGTATGGGCATCAGCAACTTTCAGTTTTTGGTATGCATTAAACGCCGCTGCCCCCCTCCTGGAGCAGAGCAGAGCAGGGCCCCTCTCGTCTCTGTTCCTGGTGGCTTGCGTGTGTGTGCATCAGAGAGAAAGAGAGAGAGAGAGAGGCCTGCCGCCCAAGATCTCTCTTGATCAGTGCCGAGATCATCAATCAGGGGGGCCTGCCATCCAAGTGGGCATCTCCATTTTTCTTCCTCCTCGAGCTGGTTTCCGAGCCTGATAAAACCACCCTCCCCGGCCTCGCTCAACTGCTCCCCAGCTTCTTTCTCGCCTGCTTGGAAGTAGTACCAGAAAGTAGAAACAGAGGGGAAGCAGAGAGATCGCCTCAGGGTCGTCGTCACGAGCTGCAACCCGTCCGCATTGTAGCCGTGATATCAGGAAATGCTCTGGTTCCCATTTTAGGTCCGGCTCCATCTTCTTCCTCCTCTCGCTGATCATCTCCTCCGATGCTTGGAAAGCTCTGCTGCTTTTGCTGCCCCACTCGCCCTCTCTAGCTAGCCATCCCAGGTAGAAGCCTCTGCAGGGGAGTAGCCACTTGAGGTAGGACGGAGGGGTGGTTGGCGGTTCATAGGCCGTCGCCGTCGCCGGTGCTTTCTCTCTCCATGATTGTTTAAGGTTCGGCTACCAATCCCTACCTCCGGAGGGCTTCCTCGGCTGTTCCCACTTTGGTTCTTCAACTTGATTTCACTTCTTGTTTCTGCGATTATTGTCTCTTTGTGTGGTACGGCTTGGAATTAAAGATCTCCAGTGCTCTGGCTGTTGATTCTCATGTTGAATATTGAATGTTGAAAAAGAAAAAGCTCAAGGGAATGTTGAATGAGCAGTTGGATAAGCACAATTTCTTATGAGAGGCCACTGTAACTCATGCCCCTAGCCTTTCTCCATTTATTCTGGCGCTTTTCTTCCGCTGCCCCATTTTGAAATTTCAGGCAAACAACCCATTTTACTGTGTGCTTTAGCTGCGCTTTTTTTACTAGATCAGCTATGCTTTAGTAGATGGCTGCATTTTTGCGCACAGGCTAGCAAAATACTAGGTGGTGTCTTTGCCACAAAATAGGTGAACTTTTTCGTTCCTCCTATGGCCAGTGCTGTGCAATTTGGTGTGCATTTCAACCTGCTACAATGCGCACAGTAGCTTGCCTTGCATCTTCAACTTTGTGGAGGAACAATCTGTGAACTGTGTCCTCAGCAGCGTTCGTTGATGTCACCAATTATTTGGCTCACGTATCCTACAGCTGCTTTGCTTCAGGTCTTTTAAAATTACTAGTGTGTGCAAGATTTGGCCTTTGGCGACCACGGAGCTAGGCGCCTCAAGATGTCTAGCAATCCATCCTATCATCAGCAGCTGGGGTTGGATGCCATGAACACTTGCTTCTTCGGCGGCAGCAGCATGATCGGCTCCGAAGCACCGTTCTTCTACCCAGGCATGCCGCACGATGCGGGCTTCGGCTCCGGCGGCGCGGATGTGGCCGCGCATTTCATGGCCAGCAGCGCGATGGTCACTTCGCCGGCGAACCAGCTCGTCTGGCCCGCCGCTGCTCCTTCGCAGGACAGCCACCAAGCGAGCATGTCGACGGAGGAGATGAACGACGACGCCTACGCCGTCGCCGGCGAGAGCTGCAGCACCGTGCACTCCATGCTCCCTTCCGCCTCGGCAGACTTCTTTCAGTACGGGTCGGGAGTGGTCACCATCGCCCAGCCGTCGAAGATGGCCAAGCTCGTTGCTGGAGAGCCACACTGCGGCTGGCTCTACGATGGACCGAGCGCTGCCTCGACCCACCAGCCGTATTACCTGACGGCGTTCTCCGGCGGCAGCGACTTTCCGGACGCTGTCGCCGGCGCGGCGAGCGGCCTGTCGCTCAGGCTAGGTGCCCAGTCTTCCTCGGTCACCATGGCGAGCATACCGGAGCAGTCCTCGGAGGTGAGCTGCTCCGGCCTGACCCACGTCAACAGCGAAGGCTTTGGCTACCAGCAGCCTCAGGCCGTGAGGGCTCACGCCGGCGCCGGCGCCGGCCTGTTCCATCTGCCTCCTTACGGCGATGTCGGTGCCGGCGACGACGAGCTGCGGCACGTGTACCCACAGATGTACTCGAGGCCTCCGCACTTCTCGCAGGTGCTGCCGCGGTCGGGATACGCGCACATTGCCCAGGAGCTGCTGAATGGGTTCGCCGGCTGCGTGCTGAAAGACCTGGCCGAGATGCCTGACGATTCAGTCAGCGGCATTGGCAGCGAGGCGAGCCTCCTGCTCTCGTCGAGCTGCTCGGCGAGGACGCCGTCGTCGGTGAGCTCCAACCAGCTGATGCTGCCCTCCGACGAGGGCTCAGCCGACGGCGGGAGGTGGATGGAGGCTCAGAGGGTGAGGAACGATCTCCTGAAACTGCTACAGCTGGTGAGCGAGCGAGCTCCTGAATTTCATCTCAACTTCAGAGTGTTATTACCAGAGTAAAAAGAAAAATCTCATGGCTGGAGCCTGTTGGGTGGATGCAGATGGACCAAAGGTGCAACCGGTGCTTCGACGACATCCAGACCACGGCGTCCAAGTTCAGCAGCGTGGTGGCGCACCCAGGCGGCGGCGGAGGCGGCGCCATCGCGCCGCCGCCGTTCGCGCAGCGCGCGATGTCCGCGGTGTACCGGAGGCTGAGGAAGCGGATCACGGGCCTGATCGTGGCGGTGGCGCAGAGGTCCGGCGGGGGCGGGGGCGGGGAGCCGTCGTCGCTGGCCGACAAGGAGCGGAGCTGGGAGTCGGCCTTCATCCAGAAGCACTGGGCGCTGCAGCAGCTCCGGCGCGGCGACCAGCAGTCCTGGCGGCCCCAGCGCGGCCTGCCGGAGAAGTCCGTCGCCGTGCTCAAAGCCTGGATGTTCGAGAACTTCCTCCGCCCGTAAGTTTCAGTCAAGGATAAACACTCCTGCTCCTGCCCTGGATAATGGCAATGATTCTTACTCTGAACTTGGTAGGATCTCAGTATTTCTGTCAACTGAATGAGCATGATATCTGTGTTTACCACTGGAAACTTGACGAGACGAGCAATCTGATGATGTCTCATGGCAGGTACCCGAAGGACCACGAGAAGGACATGCTGGCGGCGAGGAGCGGGCTGAGCAGGAGCCAGGTACCAATCTCAGGCTTTTCGGCACAAAGCTTACTTCCATTTTGCTAGAGAGAGCAGATCAAGCTTAAAACAAGAAAGAACACCGTAGACTGAAAATGTTGCTGCGTTGGCAGGTCTCCAACTGGTTCATCAACGCGCGCGTCCGGCTGTGGAAGCCGATGATCGAGGAGATGTACGAGGAGCTCAAGAGGAGCTCCGGGCGCGGCGGCGACGCTGAGCTTCCGAGCAGCAAAGACGTCGTCGGCTAGGAAAAGGGGACGGCCAAGGTTGGAACTGCACGAGTCCTCACTCATGGGCCCTGTCTCTCTGGCCATTGTTGATCATCTGGTCGCTATATCTATGTAGTAACCTGGAGTAGTTTTCTTGCATGTACATATAATTGCCACCTGGTGCCTGCGATTAAACGGAAACCTCTCGCATGATCGTTGATTGTTCATGGCGTCGAGAGGTTTGAAAGATTTCGAGTTGCCCGGCAGGGGAGTAGAAGCGCGCCGCTGTTGCTGTTACGGATTGGATCTTTTTTCTGCATCGCGCTGTTCCACGTTGCAATCGTGCCCTTGGTTTTGCTGACAACGGATCGCGCCGGCACATGAAATGTTCGGCGCACGTTTTGGCTTCATGTATGTATGCACCAACGCAAGTTGCACACTTGGAAATGCTATCTACTCCGGAGTTCGTTTTCTTGAATTGATGGCAAACACATGCGTGCTTGGCTCTCAAATGAAAGATCCGAGCAGTTTTAGGTCTCTGTTTGTCCATGATTCAAAGCGTCAAAGATTCGAAAGTTGGAGACTTTTCTTTAAGAAAATGACCTGCAACTTTAATCGAACTTGACAAAGATTACAACTACAATGCTTTGGATCATTGATCCAATAAATTGCAAAGTAACTCTCATCAGTAAGAACGTACAAGGAAATTCTATCATCACAAAATGAATTCTATCATCAGCATTCTCCAGTTTAAGGAAGGATCCTTCCCCTTTCCATACTTAGGGCTTCCTCTCAATATGAACAAGCTCAAGATTGAGGATTTCAGTCCTATGTTACAAAGAATTGAAAGAAGAATAACTGAATGTTCCACTTTAATCTCTTATGATGAAAAACTGCAACTAATTAAGTCAGTGTTCTCCTCCCTTCCAACCTTCTTCATGAGCTGGATTTGAGGAAGTTGGAAAAGCCATGATTTCCTGGGAGACAGTCTGCAAACCTAAATCCCATGGAGGACTGGGAGTGATAGACATCCAACTACATAACAAAGCCCTGTTAACTAAGAACTTGCACAAGTTCTTCAACAAGCAGAATCTACCTTGGGTCAAACTGTCGTGGGAATCATATTACTCAACTGTTTCACCAAAGGATAGACTGGAGGGCTCTTTCTGGTGGAAAGCTCATCTGAAACTGGTACCTCTCTTCAAGGAAGTTGCACATTGTATAGTTGGCACTGGAGACACCACTCTGTTTTGGACAGACAAATGGCAACACAGAATCCTTGCTGGGCAATATCCTGAGCTAAACTATTTTGCAATCAATGATCAATGGTCAGTGGCCCATGTGAAACAATCGATTGATATCATGGAGCAGTTCCACACCCCACTCTCTGTCATTGCCTTCCATCAACTAAATGAACTAACACCAATTGGGAAACAACTTGGAAACACTGTTGATAAATGGACTTATGAGTGGAATTCTGGTATAATTTCTGTCAACAAGATGTATAAACATATGATGGGTCCTTCAGTGGCACACCACCTGTTCAAAGATTTATGGAAAGCAGCAAGAAGAATCAGGCATAAAATTTTCTTCTGGCTGTTACTATATGACACAATCAACTTCAAAAGCCTTCTCAAAAGGAAAAATTTTCTTGCTGCAGAGTTACAAGTGTGCACTCTGCCAAGAACAGGTTGAGGAAACAACTCTGCGCTTACTCTGGGACTGCCAGTTTGCACTCTCATGCTGGGACCTCATTGCCCCAAATAGACAGAGAGGAGTATCTGCTTTTGATGACATTATCTTCCTCAAGCAAGCCTTCCCACCACATATTGCCATGGATATTGTTATTTTGGGATGCAAGAACATATGGATGCAAAGGAATGGAAAGATCGTCAACAATGCCCTCCCAAGTCTGGACGCCTAGAAGCATGGCCTACATCAAGATCTGTCTCTAGTCAAGCATAGAACTAAAAGAAAGAACATTGCCTGCCTAGAGCAATGGATGAGCTCCCTCTTTTCATAGTTCTCATAAGATAACACATTTTTCATGTTAGAGAAAACATGAGTTGGGTAGTTGTTTGTGAACGTTTCCTTTAGCTGTTTGTACATATATTCTTTATTAATAAAAATTACCGTAGAACTATTGTTCTACGCTTTCGGGGTCAAAAAACGTACAAGGAAATTTTAGCTCAAGGAGGAATGTGCCTCCCTTCGTTTCCCCTCCGCGGACGTCCAGGCTGGAGCTGCCAACATCCTATGGTCTCGCGATGGGGACCCCGAAGCCCGCGCCAAACTCTCGTGCGTGCATGGACGGGCGTGGTGACTCCCATGGCATTGTGGCTGTGGAGCATGAGCATGCGGTCAACCTTGTCGTGTCGGCTTCAACTGCCACGGTCATGGAGCGCACGACCTAGCAGGATGGGAGGCCATGCGATTGAATGACTACAAGTCATGGTGGCGATGGTGGCCTCCGTTGGATGCAACAACATGAGCGACCCCCCTGAGGCCCTGACCACCATGTCGATGCTTTAAGAGAATCAACAGCTGGACTTGCCAAATCCGACACTCTATACTCCTGCGGGGGCATCCGGACGCGTCCGCGGATAGTGACCAGGCCAAATGGGCACATTCACAGCCACATATCTCATATCTGGCATCCTATATCCATATAAAATCATGCGTATACCATCAAACAGACAAATCTGACAGGAAACGGACATATAAACTGATAGCAAGCAGACACAATTCACATATAAACATCACCATAAGTGAATAATAATTCAACCGTCCAACAAATTCTATCTAGATAGTACTATCAACTAATGGGGTTGTCCCCAAGTTTCACCACTTCCTCGCCAGCCCTTTGCCCTTCCGGTTGCCGACCCTGCTATATGAGTTCGTGGCAGGAGGTGGGTCATTAGAGGAGGAGGAGGAGGAGGAGGAGGAAGAGGAGATGACACTATAGCCCTTCAAGCGTTGAACGATGCGGTCCTCCTTCTGCTTGAGCGTGGCCACCCTTGCTGCCTCCGCCGCCACCCGCTCGGACTGCTCAATGCCAGGCTGGAGTGGCTTGGCGTTAATCCTCCGAAATCGCCGAGCGTTTGTCTCTGCCGTCGTAAGTATCCGGCGATACACCCGCTAGAGGAGATAGTCCTCATCGTTGGGCATCACAGGCGTCAAGTGGCGCGGCGGGGGGACTGCGGGGCCGCACCAATCCAGTTTCCCCTCTCCCTTGCTCTCTACCTGTCACAACGGGCGGCGGGAACCTCCGATTCTGGAGTGCGCATTGTTGGGGATCGTAGCAGAAATTTAAAATTTTCTACGCATCACCAAGATCAATCTATGGAGTCATCTAGCAACGAGAGGGAGAGGAGTGCATCTACATACCCTTGTAGATCGCGAGCGGAAGCGTTCAAGAGAACATGGTTGATGGAGTCGTACTCGTCGTGATCCAAATCACCGATGATCCTAGCGCCGAACGGACGGCACCTCCGCGTTCAACACACGTATGGAACAGAGATGTCTCCCGTGCCTTGATCCAGCAAGGAGGAGGAAGAGGTTGAGGAAGAGAGCTCCAACAGCAGCACGACGGCGTGGTGGTGATGGAGTGGCAGTTCTCCGGCGGGGCTTCGCCAAGCTCACGCGGAGGAGGAGAGGTGTTGGGGAGGGGAGGGGCTGCGCCTTGGATGTGGTGATGCAGCCCTCCCTTTGCCCCTCTATTTATAGGGGAAGGGGAAAGGGGGCCGGCCCCCTCTAGATGAGATCTAGAGGGGGGCGGCGGCCAAGGGGGAGGGGGCTTGCCCCCCAAGCCAGGGGGGCCTTTAGGGTTTCCCCCAACCCTAGGCGCATGGGCCCTTGGGGGGTTGGCGCCCCAACCCACTTGGGGCTGGTTCCCTTCCCCTTACAGCCCATAAGGCCCTCTGGGAGAGGTGGCCCCTCCCGGTGGACCCCCGGAACCCCTCCGGTGGCCCCGGTACAATACCGATATGCCCCCGAACCTTTTCGGTGACCGTATGACAACTTCCCACATATAAATCTTCACCTCCGGACCATTCCGGAACTCCTCGTGACGTTGGAGATCTCATCTGGGACTCCAAACAACATTCGGTAATCACATACAAGTCTTCCTAATAACCCTAGCATCATCGAACCTTAAGTGTGTAGACCCTACGGGTTCGAGAACCATGCAGACATGACCGAGACAACTCTCCGGCCAATAACCAACAACGGGATCTGGATACCCCTGTTGGCTCCCACATGTTCCACGATGATCTCATTGGATGAACCACGATGTCGAGGATTCAAGCAATCCCGTACACAATTCCCTTTATCAATCGGTACGTTACTTGCCCGAGATTCGATCGTCGGTATCCCAATACCTCGTTCAATCTCGTTACCAGCAAGTCACTTTACTCGTTCCGTAATGCATGATCCCGTGACCAACTACTTAGTCACAATGAGCTCATTATGATGATGCATTACCGAGTGGGCCCAGAGATACCTCTCCGTCATATGGAGTGACAAATCCCAGTCTCGATTCGTGCCAACCCAACATACACTCTCTGGGGTTCGTTACCAGCAAGTATCATTTCCTTAGACCGATGTGATGGAAATGATACTTGACATTAGAAAAGCTTTAGCAAACGAACTACACGATCTTGTGCTACGCTTAAGATTGGGTCTTGTCCATCACATCATTCTCCTAATGATGTGACCCCATTATCAATGACATCCAATGTCCATGGTCAGGAAACCATGACCATCTATTGATCAATGAGCTAGTCAACTAGAGTCTTAGTAGGGACATGTTGTGGTGTATGTATTCACACATGTATTACGATTTCCAGTTAATACAATTATAGTATGAACAATAGACAATTATCATGAACAAGGAAATATAATAATAACCATTTTATTATTGCCTCTAGGGCATACTTCCAACAGTCTCCCACTTGCACTAGAGTCAATAATCTAGTTCACATCACTATGTGATTGTAATGAATCCAACACCCATGGGGTTTGTTCATATCTTGCTTGTG